GACCGTAGAGGACAATGGAGAACAAGCCAGCCGCAAGAAGGAATTAACCAGCCCGAACTTTATCACGGCTAACTGCGCTATCCTTGCTCCCCAATGAATTTGCCGATTCGAACACGGACCAAAGTAATTCCAACGATCGAGATCGTTAAATCGCACGTAATCCCCGCTCGTTTCGCTGATTAAAAATGTCCATGGAAAAATATCTTGCCCCTTTATTATTTCATCGGTCGTGGAAATTATGGCTCCAATTTATCTCCTTTCTCTCTCTTTTTTTTCCACTAGTAATTCAGCCTTGCAATATAATTTATCCTCGACTGATCCTTGCGTTATAAATATAAGTTGCGTCATTTCTTGAAATGGCGAAACTAAGTTGTAATCGGCGGAAGTTTCCTGAGTAAAGTTGATCAATGGGAAGACAGATTGTGGGTGGTGTTTAACGCCATTTTGGTTCAAGGACAAGCGCAGTGTCTTGCCGCAATTAATGGCTTCCCTTGCAGAAACTCTCGGCCCTAGAGTATTTCGATGTTCCACGAAACACGGAGACGGCAGAGGGGCGGTCGCCCTTGATTTACGTGGGGTCGCATTAAACGGTTCTTTGATGGCTCCTTACCTCCTGAGTGGTTGATAACTTGATTTGCTCGTCCACTTTGGAACTTAGCCACGGCTTCCTTCTATCTCCGATGGTCCTGGAAAGCCTTTTCTCTCGGACTCTAGGTCGCTACCTAAGTTGCTATCAATTTCTGTTCTTCGATTTTTCTCCGCAACATCGAAAGTGCTAACTTTACCCAGTTTCGATTGCGTTCGACGCAGGAAGTGGCGGTAATGGCGAAATAGAAAAGGTAAGAGAGACAAACGAATTCGTCCTGATGTTATCTACGCAACGGTGGAAAAGTTTTTATTGCAAGTTTGCGTCTCGTAGCGCGAAACGCGAAACTTGGCAGAGGTAAGGAAGCCGACGCCTGGCACGCCTGACAACACGCTTTAAATTGCACTTGTGGTAAGAAGTCTGAACAGCTGGTGAAATTGGCGGTTACAGGTGACGAGACAGGAAGAACCAACTGGCAACAAAATGTCAAGAAACAACATTGTTTGTGAAAAGTCAAGTGTGTAACTGTTCTGGTTTCGAATCATTTTCGTTTCTTCTTCTTTCTCTTGAATTCTCATCCGCGAAGCAACGTATCCTCGTGATCTGCCTTCAAAGAACGTTTGATCTTCTCTTTTTGAAATTCGAGCTAAAATGCGACTCCTAAGCGGCGTCACATGCTCGCAGAATTTAAAATCAATCCTCTCTACGATAACATTACGCTAATAATTCAGCACAACTACATTATTGGCAAACTCTATACAATCATTGGAGACGATCGTATAGAAAGAAAAAAAGGAAAAATAGCTGGTAAGTTGATTATTCGTAATTAAAAAAAAAGAAAGTTGCGTCGTTTGGTTTGGTTACCGTACTGTTCCTCGAGGGAGATGAAGCGTATCCGTTTAACGAACTATTGCTCTACGAGTCCTATTTTTTCGTTACCCCACGAAACGGAAGAGGTTCGATCGTGTTTCACCCGGTGAATGCTTATTCAGTCTTCAACCGACTGTGATCTCATTAACGTGCCTGAATGGCTCCAACTGCTTAAAAGTGTCCCACATTTCATAATGATACCGATGTAAGCGTGTTCACGAGCGAGCAATTAAAAAGGTTTCATCCGTACAATTAGGATCTTCTTCCTCTACTTGGTTCGTTTGCGTGATCTCTCCGATCAGAAACATCAGCCAATACAGAAAGAGAGCCGTGTCCGTGTTATACAGCGATGTCGAATTATTGGCTCGACTTTTGTTCTAGTTTCCAGTGTTTCACAGAACTTATCTATGAACCAGCAAAATCTGTAATTTACAGCTGAGTAATCTTTCTAAGATGAGAGAGAGAATGTTATCGTATCGGATGTAGTTTCGTTCCAAACTTACGAGAAACGTTTCCACCACGAAACTTTCCTTTTTTCCCCTGAAATCACTGATCTCAATCGAACGACAAGTTGTCAAGACGCGTTTGCTTTCCCTTTCTTTAAATGTACTCTTTCGAGGAATTTCAGAAACACATAGAAACTGGTTGATTTGCCGCGTGTGACGTTGTGCGTGTGACTACGCCGTGCATTGACCTCTGTGGTTCGTGTGTTTTCCGAAGGAAACAGGAATCATATAAATTTGAAGCTGCATCATGACTGCACAAACGATACCAATTTCGATCCGAACTGGCTGTTATCTGTGCTATATCGAGCACAGGATCAAGTAGTCTTTAAGCTCGTCGATCGTTCATCAATTCGCAATTGCAGTTGGACGCGAACGCGCGCGCAGATAGATGTCTCTCTCCTCGCTTGGAGCGATTTCGACTTTGCGCGTCGCGACAGGGAACAGAACTTCGAATTGTTCCAATTAAACTTTGATCGGCCCTGCTCTTTCACCGGGGTGTACCGGCCGAAATGCGATTGGAACATTGACCTTTGTCCCGCTCGATGATCCTTCAAAAGTTTCGACGATTCGCCGTTGTATGCCGAGTGATGCTAGCATTTCGTCGAGTTTAACGAGTTCACCTAGATACGTAAGAAATCATAGAAAAGGTAACGAAGGCGGCAAACTAAGAACAGCACTTGAAACAACAACGATTGCGCTCTTGAATTTCGCGAACGACGTCCCAACCTGTCCGATGGGAACGGAACGCGATGCCGTGTAACTTAATAACACAGCTGTTGGACAATTTATACAATTTCAAACAATTTAATGTAGAGTGAATTGCGTCAATTTACGGCGAAACTTCCTTAATCCTGCCAGATCCATATTTGATGTTCGAATAATTGGGTGTCGTAATTTACATAGGGTGTTTAATATGTCGTAATCACTTCGATCAATGTAATGGCGGGTGCGATGCATCAACGTATTGGTCCGTTTAATAGTGCTAGTTATAGTCTGTTGTTCGTCACTTAACGCGAACAATCACGGTTTAATTTGATTTAATTTTCCTTTTTACGAAGATGAACTTTCGTGTTATTTTAAAAACATTTTACTTTTGACTTCAACTTTGAATAGTTTCTAACTATAACATAATCGGTGTTTCCAACTTTTCTAAGAGCGTCATGCTACGATAATTATTCCCGTAGGAAGTTTTTAACTATAGAATGTTCATTGTTTAAGTTAACTCTCGAATTGAAGATCGTTTCCTTTCAACACGTTCGTAGGAAACGTTAAGCAGGTGATTTCAAACGAAGAACACACTTTCTTATCAGTAGACCAGCAATTGCAGTAGCTCTGTCTTATCAGCCTCACCAGAATGAACCGTGGAAAGAATATTATCCGAGAAAATATTATCCTTAAACGTATTCAGCGCACGTTGTAACGGTTTAAACTTGCTACGTACCACGGCTACTCGTAATCCATAACGATCCGCCATGACATTTCCACATGTAAATGACCTACGTTAAATGTTCAAAAAGGAAATAAAGTGCACTGGTCCGTATCGATATTTCGCTGTTTGTGATTTACAAGCGGTTCAACTTGAATTTACTCGTCGGTTTGCAAGTTACGCGCACAAATGATTTACAATTTTGCCTTCTGACACGTGTAATTTTATTTGATAAAGCAGATTTCAATCGCGAATTTTATGACTTTAAATAAAGGAAACAAACGTGACTGCTATTGAACCTATCGTTTTCAAAACTCGGCCGAGGACCAGCGATCGCCGTGGATACTATTTTGGTAGATCAGAAGAAGATTCGGTGTATACGGTCTGAAGCTCGCCGACCCTGACTCAATTTCGAGCACGACCCAGCTGCCCTCGTTTGCCCAATCCGACGCATTTCAAGGCGTTTAAATCGGCTAAAAGGAACGAGCGTTTTACGAACGACACGACGCCTATCCTTTACTACCGCTTTCTGTTTGCTTACACTGCCCGGCCATGGAACGAAGAAACGAACAAGTGACGAATGTTCCGTTCACGTGGTTCATTTACAATTTGTCCGATTCGTTTTCAAAAGTATTGTTCAAGGATTTAACGGAAACCCTGTAAAGGGGAGGCAGCCAGAAGATAATGTAATATTCCAGTCATTATCGTAGAATTAAGTTTTTACACGATCGTTCGGTGTGAGGGAAATATTGCTCGGATTCCTCGATGCGAGAATGGATTTCCAGTTCCCTCGTCCGAGATTTATCGATTCGTTATCAAAACTGGGACCTAGGCATGATTTACTATTTCGACCCGCATTCGCTAGACCGTTTTACGCAATTACTCTTGCCGAGTAGCTTGAAACGTCGCGTCGAAGGTGCAAGAAGGATGGAGGAGTTACGCGTGGAATTCACGAGGATAAAAGTATCGTGGAATCGGTTGTTTGCTCGGCGGGCAATCGTAATGCGTTTCCTTTACAAGCAATCGGTCGACGATACACCGCAGCAGTGGCCGACGCTATTAATTCACCGTGCTAGTTTTTCTCGTGGCTCGTTTATTATAAATTCGACTTGCCACTGTTTATTCGACATCCGAGCGAACAGCAGGGAGAGAAAAAAAATTGATGCGCTCCCTTCGACTCGGCGACATGCATGAATGCATTGTATCGACGAGCGAGAGGAAAATTTACTGTCGGCATCGGACGGTATCTCCTCGTCGTGTTGGACCAACGAAACCACCAGAGTGTATCAATCACGGCGCGGCACGACGGCGTCGCGCGTGTTAGTCGTTTGCCCGTTTTCGAAGTTTGGTCGGTGCGCCGTCGTAGCCAGCAAGCTACGACGAACTTATACATATGAAACGAGTGGAATATCAAGCTCGAACTCCGACGGGCACAGTTAGTGTCGAGTTAATTCCTCGAGTTAGATAGATAAGTGGGGATACGCTTCTATAATTTTACTCTGTTTGATGTAACACACCGTGCTCGTGCTGTTTTGAATATGGAACAGTATCGGGTAACAATATCGGGCAAAGAATAGACTCGTGTTCTTCGAAACGAAAAATGTTTACTCACCTTCCAAAACCTTGACGCATTCCGTGAGATTTGGATAATTTTCCGGGTAGTTGGGACTATAAAATTCTTGTTTAACCTCGTCGCCAACGCTGAATTTCTCGCACGCGTCCGGTACGTGCCTCATTTGACGACGTATAACGTTGTTCGCAACGAACGTGGTCGGCGTTGTGCTGGCGTTTCTCCGATTTTTCCAAAAATTGGGTGACTTGACCCCTTGCGTCGCCACTATCTACACATATTTGAAAATCACGTGACAATTTACACAAAATGTTCTCTTGGCAATCATATCGATGTACGGTTTAATTTTAAAGTCAGCGTTAGTTACAGTCCGACAGGATTGAAAATTTACACGATCGATAAGCAATAATCCTCTAAACCTTAGGTGTCAGGTCGTTAATTATATATAGCGACCTAACGACGCTTTGGGTAACTGGTATCGTGATAGCGTTAAATTATAGTTATCGACCTGCTGCGTAATTATTGCCTATAAGGAAAATATATATCTACTTTGTGTTACGTTAAAATAATGTAGATTATTTCGCACTTAATTCTTTTATTGTTATGTTAAGCTGAAGATTTCATCGGTCCCTCATTTCACTCCCTCGATTCTCCATTTGAGAGTGATAAAGAGTGAGAGTTATATAGAAGCAATAATCAAGAAGATGTAAGATTAACGGGTGAAATATGATACGACTTACGTTGTCAAAAGTTGCCGGGGTGACGATGTTCACGTCAAAGCCCGATCGTTTCGGCATCGACTGGATGAACGTCCGTGAGGTAGATAGATTTATCTTCTGCATCGTGTCACCCGTACTCATGGAGGACACGGTCGAGTTTTGACCCGAGATTTTCACTTTTCTCGCGTCATTCTTCCCCGTCTCATATATCGTCTCGACATTCCTGTGAATTTCGATCTTCTTTTCCTCCTCTTCATCGTCATCCGGGCTCTCGCTGGCCGGCTTTAGCAATTCCAGCGTGACTCGTTCCCGGGAATTCGAGCTGTCCGCGTGCCAGGAAGTTGTCTGACGAAACTTTCCGATAGATTTGGTTTCTCCCGTGGTACGCTCCGTGGTACTGGTGGACCAGGCAAAGGTTCGCCCGCTTCTTCTCGTGTCGTATGTACTCCACAGTGACTCTTTCGTCTCGCGTATGGCTTCCGCGGCCGTCCCAGTCACTGAAACATTAATGATCAAGCGAACTTTGTTACAGTTTGTCATTTTCTAATGGTAACTCTAGTCACTCTAAGCCTTGGATGCTACTACAACATTTTTTTCTTGGCGAAACGTGTTTACTAGAACTTCTGAACTCACCACTTTCAAAATCCATCCTACCATTAACCACAAATCCCTCCATAGACAATAAAAGCATTCCCAACAAACATCAGTCTTGCCGAACTCCCCAAAAAAATAGTTAGTCCAAATGACCACAGGACTCGATTCCTAGAATTAAATAACAACTACTCCCAACACAGCAAGATTTACACTGATGGGTCAAAACGGACACTGGAGTTAATGGATAACATTAATGGATACGCCATTATCGCAGAAAAAGCTAAAAAAAAAACACAAAATCTCCCTTCTTCATCATCCATCTTCACAGCCGAAACTTATCCCATCCTGGAAACCATTAAATATGCACACTTAAATAACGAAGCCCAGATATCGTCATATACATCGATTCTATGAGCGTTACAAAATCCCTAACGAAATCATATAATTAAGAAAACCAACTAATATCCACCATCCAAGAACTAAACCACAACCAACCTAACACAAACGCTACAGTCATTTGGATTCTAGCTCATCAAGGAATAGAAGGAAATGAAAAAGCCGACGAAGCAGCGAAAGAAGTCACAGTTCCCTCACTTACTGACAATTGCAACCATCTTCCAATTTCCTGTGACGACCAAATAATCCATTGCAAAAAAAGTAACAAAAAATGAATGGAATAATACATGGAAAACAACTAAAAGCATCCAACCACACAAAAGTATACAGGACTTTCACCAGCAAACACCAAACCTTAACAACAGGAAAGAAAGAATAATTATCACACGCCTAAGAACCGGTCATACCAAGCTGACACATGAACACAAAATCAAAAAAACTACACCACCCACTTGCACTCATTGCAATAACCATCCATTAACAATAACCCACACGGATGCCACACCACAGAAACCCAAAGACAGACATACCGAATCAACGAAAATATAAACCTGACTTCTCAAAATGACATACAAAGAGTATTAAAATATCTCAAAAACATAAACTATTACACACATATCTAATGGCACTGTCGTCGCTAATGACCTCGCTGTCGATGCGACATTAAAGAAAAATAGAAGAACTTCTGAACTGTACATATATGGTTTCTAATCATATAAGGTTTAAAATCGTCAAAATAAATGTTTCATTCAATATAATCGGAATATAACAATTTCTAGCGTTCGTTAAACTTACGTTCTCTCGAAATCTCTTGGAAATTGCATTCCGATCATTTTGCTGTGTACGAAGACGTTGTTTAAAACATAGAAAGGAAGAATAACAGGAAACAAAAAATAATTAAGGTCGAAAACTGGTTTCCAATCAAAAGACTACACTTTTGACAAAGACGAAACATGTAAATTCCACTTGCGAAAAAGTCCAATCGATTTCGACGCTTTGACTGCCGTTGTTTTATTTTTTTCTTTGCTTTTCATCGACGCAACGCGCGATCTGGATTTGACATCGGCGAAGCGACCCGAGTCGAATTCTGTTCGATACGTAACTAAATCTGTCGTCGAGTTGCATGCTGACTTTCTCGAAAGACCACTATCGTTACGGACGGTGTAAACCTCGAATTCGTTCTTTATCGATGAAATTGCAAAATTCTTGAATAGCCTTCAACGAAACGATTCGAGTCTTTCATGCGAAAAGAGCAAAAAATATGTGTGAACACCCGTTCTTAGGCCCGACGTTTTATGGTGAAATATGAAAGATCGTCGTAAATATTTTCTTGCACTGGGGAATATTATGAAAGCGTTCGGAGAATAAAAATTCCAAATGAAAGGAGCTACCTCTATTCTCTCGCTATGCGGCGAATGCAAACGACATGCACAGTAATTTGCAAAAAGATCTATTATTATATTGTTTCAAGATTCGTGGCATTTAACTATTTAATTTCAAGCTGGTTTTTAATTCTTTTTTATTCGTAGTTAATTTATTCTTTAGTTTATTTACTTTCATTGCCTATTTTTGTGAATTCCATATTATTTTATAATCTAGAATAATTTTAGGACAATTGAAAATTCCGAAAATTCTTCGGGATAAAAGATAAGAACCACTTTACTGCTTCCCTTTCCAGCAAATTTAATCAACCACACCCCTGTCATTCTCTTTCGTGGACAGTCCATTAATTTGCATAATTTATGGACGCACTCTTTTCGCACGAAATGTCGTATGAATTGAGTCACAACCATTCCGTAACCATGCTCTCTATCCTATGGAACTCACAAATTTCATTAGCAAACATTAGCGCACGAGATACGTGTGTTTCCCGCATTTCTTTGGCTATTTTTGCATTTCAAGGAAAAAATTATAACTCGGATATGTATTTGCTGAAATTTGCTTAGCGTTCGCAACTTCGTCACACGAACCGATCCATTAAAAATAAAATTCGATTTACTCTTCTCTTCGATTGCGCTGCAATGCAGAAACAAAATTGGACCGTATTATTGAAAAAGACTGCCACTGTTCTAAAAGCCTTTGCGCCTGTTATTGTTACAAAATATTCATCGTTGAACATTCTGCGCATTTGCAAGTTTTCTCGGGGTTTCTTCGACAGATATCGATTTTCACGGCTATCGGAGAACATTTTTATTGAATCCAATTTAACGCTAACTTGTAAACACAATCTTACTATTCCATATTGGAATTCGACAATTTTATATTTTATACCTTGAAAATGTAACAACAGTTTTATGTTGAATTTCCAATTTCTTTTGAGGAAATAATTACTAATTGTTTAGCGTGCTGGAAGAAAAAAGGAGTGTCGTGAAAATGTTAAAGTATCATCTGTATCTTTTAACGTGACAATGCCATTTGTAAGCCGGCGCTTTGATCAGTATACCTTGAAATTTGAAACGCTATATCACCATCAGGGTTTCTCAGAGAATCTCGAGAAATTTCCATGGTCGAATTCTTGGTGCAAAAACTGCGCTGTAAATGTAGGTATCCTCCTATGTTGGTCACGTAAATCTGATCTTTGCACGTGCAGGATATCTTGTTTTTTACTCTTTCTGTCTCTCTTCATACCGAAGATGTTCCACTCTTTTTTTCCCGTTCGATGCCTCTATTTTAAAAGCACGGTTGGTTCGCCTTCCATCGTTGTGTCAGGAAGAACGGCTGAGCGTTATCCTTCTTCTTCTTCTTCTATGTACCGCAAGATTTTACCACGTTGTTTACGATTTTGTTCCTTTTTCCTTCGAGATTCACATTTTTCTTCGGTCGAGATAAAATCCACCTCGATTTCGTACGTAGTCTGTACTTTTTCCATAGCCAGCCAGTAATTATTTTGCTCGTGATGAATTTCGCGCCTTAGCTCGCCACCGACACGATGCTATCATGTTTCTTACTAGTTAGTCTACTATAAATCACCGGTTTTCCACCTCATTTGTAGACTCAAAATTTCGATATCGGGAGCCAATTTGGTAACATTAAGATATAACGAACACGTTATAGAGAACCGTGAAATGTACACGATAATTCGAACGTATAAATTGCCTGACTGGTTTAACTACTATTTATATTTGCTACCGCAATGTCAGGCTGCGCGCTCGCTGAGTATTACCTTATATTTATAATTTCCCATGGGATTGCCGTTGTGCGCAGCGGTCTAGCCCAACTGTGCCTGCTTCTTTTCTCTTTTGTATCATTTAATTTGCCGCCAATTCATTTTCTCGCGGCTGAGCATGCACGTGACTCCGCACCGCTTCGTTTCATTCTATTAATTGGCGACGCCTCGGGACACAATTAACAGAACAAGCGACAAACGTTTTAACTAATAGTTGTCCAACGGTTGTTCATTCACCATGGTACGAGGTCGAAGTTCAACTTCATCTCGATGCTTTCGTCAAATCAAGGAAGAAGAAAAAGAAACTTGAGAAAGTGTGAATCCCTGTAGGATTGATGCGGATGTGAATCTCTCTTCGAAAAAGCGTTTGTTGGATAGAACCAAAAGAACCGTGCTGCGAACTGTTGCATTATTTGCAAATTAATGAAATCGATGTGTTTGTTTCAAGTTTAAAAAGGAAAATGCTTTAAAAGAGAAGAGATTGAAATAATCACACGGTAAACGAAATAGTCTAATCATAATTCAGTCAGTTATATAATCGTAGATTTTTAATAAAGAAACAACTATCAGATGATCTAGATTCGCAGGATGGATGAAAATTAATTAAATGTGCACAGGATATTGCGTTGCTATATATGTAGGTATAACAACGGGGTCATTAATATTTCGAAGCCTGTGAAGCTAATTAAAACCGTATGAAACACAAAATGTGTCAAGCAAATATTTGCCAAATGGAAATTGTAAAATGGGCGTATAATTATCGATTTTCACATATTTATAACAGACTTGATTAATACCATCGAACAGAAATTTTCGAATCGTGACTTATAAAAATACCTGCAATATTTGATTTTACGAGGCAATTTTAGATACATAAAATTTGCTTTCACGAAACGTTAACAAAACTCTTCTCGAAAAATTTGTGTCAATATCGTCGAATATTTCTGATAACCATGAAATTAAATATTTGTCGAACCGGGTGTATCCGAGAGTTTCAGTAAAAGCTTAACAACCGCGATCGAACAGAAGGGCAAATTTTATTCTTTAAACTTTTAATCCTTCCATGCCGAGAAATCCATTTGCTTGTTCAAGTTACCGTGTTCCTGGCAATACGAGCAACACGGCAAACATTCGATGATAAATCGAAAAAGTTTCTTGAATATAAGAAACTCTCCTTTCAACCCACGTCTGCGAAGAATCTCCCCTTACGTGATTCTCCGTAAGAATAGGATATATCACTTTCAGAAATTCATATCCAACTAGCCTTCGCCGAGGAGTGTTTCACGATTCACCACTCTCACGACCGTGCCTGTGAAATTTCGATATTACGAAGCTCGCCTG